TGGCTGCCTCTGGGCCGGCTGTGGGGCTGGCTGGGAGAGGAGATGTTGGGAAGATACAGGCTGGGGAGAGATCTTTTTTCTTGGTGTGGGGAGGAGAAAGCAAGTCTCAGCGCTGGTGTTGACACCCGTTTCCCTGCTAGTGGGGAAGTTGCTTATTTTCCTGCTTCTGTGTTGCCGGTGAATGCTGCCCCATCCTGTGGCTCTCCCTCCGCGCGCTGATCCCTGCCTGCCTGGTGAGCAGGGCTGGCTTGCTGCCGGCCCCAAGGGGAAGAGATCCGCTCCTGAAGGCTCAGCTAGCTCTACCCCAAAAGGAGCCACAAACGCCAACGCAGTAGTGATACCGCGGGCAGAGTGGAAACCAGGGAGAGTGAGAGACAGCAAACGCCCGGCTGGCGCTCAGAGGGGTTTTCTGAGGGCACACGGATACACAACTGGAACCGATGGTTCACAACACAAGAGCAAAGCAGCTGATTTACAGGCCCTAGAGGAGAAAACCAGATCAGTGGGTGGCTGGGGTTTGCCAAAACCAACCTGACAGCCACGATGGGAGTAAAGGCGTTTTATGCAGAGCGATATGAATGGCTTCGGTGCTCAAGGGCAGGCTGTCAGGGAGGGGAAGGCTTGGACAGCTTTCCGGCAGAGGGGATTTCTCTCTGCCACGCTTGCAGGTCAAGGACTCAATTTCCAGGAAGGGTCTCTGAACAAACTCCCTGTGAACGCTGTGCAGGAGGGATTCGGCAGCCTCTTGCCAGGCCCTTGCCAGTAGCTGTTGGGAGTCCTGGGATGGAGCAGAGCACAGGATTTGTGCAGAAAGCAAGGTCGGGTATTTAGGGCCGTCATTTGCAGGAATTAGCAGGCCCTGGGGCAAACAAAACATGCAAGGAATAGTATGTTAGAGGAGCAGCCAGCTGGGTGGCTGGAACATGTCAAGTGTGCACAAGGGCGGCTTGGAGCAGAGCCGTGCTCACGCTGCCTCCTGCGTTTCTGGAGTGCCCTTTCCTGTGGCTGCTAAACAGTCCCGCCGCAGACAGACGGACGGACATTTCCCTCCTGCCCAGAGGGCATCGGCTCTGCAAGTCAGCCGGCTGTCACGGGAGGAAAGAAAATAGCACCTGCGTTACTAGGTCACGTTCAAGGAGCTGCAGGCATGGAAGAACAGCTTTAACTTGCGCCACTCGCCGGTGGCTGGCCCTTAGTTGAAGCAGTCTGGCTGGCACGGGGAGGCTGTGCCTTCCGGCAAGGGTGCTGCGGCAGTGCTGTGCTCAGGGGCAGGGAGCTGGTGCTGCTCCGGGTGGTGCATTGCAATCGGGCTGCTGCTTTTTCCCCCCATTCCCAGCAATGCTCAGGGAATCATTCCTGAGCCCCAGGAAGGTGTGAACAGAGGGAGGAACTAGCCCAGCAAAGGGGGGCTGCAGTGTGTGTGCAAAGCCGGGGTCCAGGCCAGATGTGCTGGGTACCACAGAGGAGGGATGCTGCTGACAGCAGGAGGGGAGGTGGGTCCCCTTCTGGGATGTGTGGAGGATAAAAGCCGAGTGTGCTACACTCCCAGGGGAGTCCTGGAAGGCCTGAAGGGCACCGCAGCTCGGCACAGGAGGCAGAGCTTACCTCCAGAGCAGGTCTGATGTTGCCATCGGACCTTCCAGGAACAAGGCAGCAGGTGACGACTCTCCAGTTCTGTTCAACAAGCAAGGTGGGCTTCCTCTAACGTGCACTGTGCAAGTGCGCAGGCATACGGCCAGCAACCCCCCGAGTGAGGCAGAGCTGTGCGGGCTGGGGAGACACAGGCATGACCCCATGACATTCCTTAGTCATGCTAAGTGGAAGTGTCTGGGACAGCGCTGAGTGAGCAGTGAAAACCCCTCGAGAGGGGATGAAGTTGACGGCACTGGAGAAGGGGAGCTGTTCTGTTCAAGGGGCGCAGGCTACTCTCCAGCATCTTCAGGCCTGGGCTCCTCCAGCCAGGCTCGGTGGGTAGGGTCTGAGGTGGCTGTTCCCACCATTCTGGTGGAGGATGTTTGTCACCTCGCTGGGAAACAGGTGCCAGCAGATGAGGCAGCTGGCTGGTGGTGGCAGGCTGAGGATGCCCAGGCGGGATTCCAACAGCAGGCAGCACGTGCTGCTTCCTGCAGGCCAGCCTGGGGTTGTGTCCATGCTTCCAGGCTTTCAGAAGCCTCTGCAGAACAGCAGGAGGAACATCCCACCTCATTTCACAGTGCTGGATCTCCACCTTCACTCTCCTTGCACCCCCTGCTGCACCTGCGGGTCCCTCGGACCCCGCATCCCGGGCTGTGCCGCTGCCTGTGCTGCATCCCGCAGGCAGGCTGGGCAGGGGCTGCCGGAGCGCGGCTGGGCTCACACGGCAGACCAGCCGGGGAAAAACTCAGGCCTGGGGCCACAGGGCAGCCCCTTTGGAGGACTTGAGCGGCTGGAAAATCTCCTTGAAAAGGCTCTTTTCAGCTTCTGAAGAATATGAGTCACGCACGGGTTGAACAATCCCCTTCCTTCCCCTCTTCTCCCACACACCCAAAATCCCCTGAGCGGGACCTGCTGCAACCACTGATTCAGAAATTCATGGTATGAGGGCACCGCGGAGTCAGATACGTTTTTTTGTTGGTTTTTTTTTTTTTCTCTTTTTTCTTTCCACTGCTTAGTGAGGAGAAGAAATGTGGAGCAAGAGAACGTGCCTGGAGGCTCTGCTCTGATCCTGCCTCTTTGTTAGAAGTCTCCAGTGGTTTCCTGCGTTTGGGCAGACCTTGACTCCGTCGGGACCCTGGGCTGCGGTAGCCTGCAGTCCCCGGAGGGATGCTGGGCCTGGATGGGTTGCTGAGACCAGCCTCTTCCTCCCCGGTGAGTAGGAGGGTGCGAGCGCTGTGGGTGGCAGGGAAGGGGCCCTGCTGCTGGCAGTGCCTTGCTGGGGTCGGCGGGGAGCGTGCGGTGCTGGGTGCTGGGGCATTGGGAGATGCTTCCGTGGGGGGCTCTGGGGCTCCCACTCCAGCTTTGAAACCAGATGCTTCCTAGCGGGAAAGAGGGAATGGGAACACGGACGGCAAACGCCTCTCTCAGGCCACTGCCGTGGAAAGGATGTAGGGGCTGCTGTGTAAGTGGAAATTGGGGCAGCGGGGGAGTGGGAAAGCACGCCTTTGGGTGCCTGGCGAGGGGGTGCCATGCGCCTGCTTCGGTCTGCAGTCTTGGAGAGCTTCCCCTGGCCGGGGGGGGCAGACAGCGGGCTTTGGGGCAGCGCTTTGGGTGCAGGGGGGCCTTGGAGGAGGCATCCATGTGTGGGAGGGGCATCGTCAAGGGGAGATGGTGCGAGGCAGGGGCCCGGGAGGGCGTAGGG